ACATATAAACCATAACCACTGTAGAGCCACATCAGCCCGTTTGATCAGATAATTCAGCTTTGATCACATTTGTTTACGTTTTACAGAAATGAAACTTAAACCACATGACTCATTAGCATAAACTGTTAGCGGTGATAAAAACAGTTTGCTCCTTGTGCCGCTGATGTGGTTCAGCTTCTTTTGGACTAAATGACACGACTCAGTGGATTATGTGTGTTCTTTTTGTGACAGAAGAGGTGCTGATGATGGAAAGTCTGTTCTATGTGTATACAGTATCGGAGATAGTTCATGTTTTAGCTTTTCAGTGATCACACAAGTGCAGGTCAGACGAGTGCAGATTGTACGTGTGCAGATTTAGCGCAGCTCTTAATTTTACATTCATTTCACTCGTTTGGTCACTTTATTTATGTTGGTCAATTTATTTATGTCGCTACTGTTGTGGTGAAAAGACTGGAAAGTGTCTTTTGGACGCATGCACACTCAACTTTATGTTGCAGTAACTGGGATACTGCGTATACATGCACCAGTATCCCGTTTATTATCGGAATAAACCAGCTACAGTAAACCGGTTTTCTAATAACCGGGATACTGAAACCGGTTACTGCATCTACATGCACCATCAAGAAACCGGGATACTCAAAAAACCCAATCATAACCGGGTTATTGATGTACATGTGTACACACTCAATCTGTGCAACAGCTGAACACCGGGAGGTCTGAATGTAGCAGACGTCCACTCATTTATCCACATGTATCCACATAAAACTGGACCATATATGGACTGGACAGGAGTGACAGTCTCATATGGTTCCTGTGTTATTGTGTATCGTGTTGATTGGTGTGAAAATAAAAACCGTCCAAACTTGTTGAAAGTTGCCCAAATATTATCTGCCGTCTAAGTCTTCCCCTCACTGCCCGACCTCGTCAAAAGAAACCCATTTGGGCGTCGCTTTTTTGCAATGTTTTCCTTATGACTTTTTTTTTTTTTTACTTATTTCTCAATTGTATTTTCTCTTATACAAATACATTTATATAATAATATGTTTTACTCTTTGTTATTTTAGTGTATTGTGATCTGTGAGCTACTGTCCAAGTAATTTCCCTTGTGGCTCAGTAAAGTCTGTCTAAGTCGAATCATCTCAAGGTCTGAATATGCTGAGGATTCTAATGACTTTAGTTTTGGTCCAAATGTGGGCTAGATTCTAAACTTTCACTTTTATGGAGACCGTGTGGTCTCTTTTGGGCTGATCTGGTCTAAAACGTGGACAAGATAAGAATTTTTAAACCATCATTTCCACAGATTGCAGTTGTGTTTTTGATCCTTGTATTGATGTCCAAATGTGGGTCAGTTTTTGACAGACTCATACACACAAGGTTAAATCTCATATTACTTGGTTCAAAATTGTTATTGTTGTGTTGAATATATGACACCTCTAATCCTAACTCTTATTTTAATAGATCCATGTTAATTGTCAAGAGGAAAAACCAGTGCCTCACCCAGAGCAGTGGCGCCATCTGCTGGAGAACGTCAGGTTGCACCTTCACAAAGATCATGTGTAGAGTTATTAAGCAAACAATTTAGGCTCACAGAAAAGGTGGACAGTCCTGTTTAAATCTCCATTTTGTCAAACATAAGGATTTGTAGTTCATGTTTAGTCTAAACTTATGCCTCAAAAAGCATCAACAACAATATATTCTTTCAACTTGTACAATTTTATTTGTGTATAATTTACTTGGGCCTGAAGTAGTTCAGAATTGTTACTGTTGTCTGGAATGTTTCACAGTATGGAATTAAACCTTTCTATCTTCATGGAGACCAAACCAGACCAAGTTACAGGTCAGATTTATGGAGAGGCGACCCCGCTCACAGTCACAATGTTGTTATTCTATGGATTTTTGGGCTTTAAAACCACATGTTTTTCAATAAAACTTAGAGCTGTTTAATGCCATACTGTGGAATATTCCAGTGCTAGTGAAAGGCGAAAGGGAGGACTGGTGCACAATGTTTTGCAAGGATTCATGTGGTTCATAGGAACATAGTCAAGACCTGGGGGACAATTGTCAAGGCGAGACTGCCCTAACTATAAAGCTTTGCAGGAAACACTGCCACCCTGTAGCAGCCGATAAAGTAATAATGGCCAATAACATAATACTTTTAATGTAACAAAGCCAATAATGTAATAACTTACCAATAATGTAAAAAAATGTCTGAACCAGTAACGTAATAACCTGATGCCAATAATGTAATAACTTATTTCATAAGTAATGTGAGGAGGCGCTGTGTGCACAGTGCACAAAAGAGGCACAGTGTAAGAGTAATACTGCCTGTTACTTGTGTAGTGTGACTACATCTGGCCTCACGCTGGCACCAAAACATGTAGTTTGAAATCTACATGGGCTCACAGCATGATACCATTAGATGTAGGGGGGTAATTGATGTTACAAATTGGAATTTAGGAGTTCGAAGTTAAAGTAGCACTCACATGGCCTTTGTGAGTGTTTAGCTCTGACTAGAAGTAAATTTGGGGGCACCACTCAACAAATGTTGAGAAATATTACAAATCCAATTTAATCAATTACCTATGTTAATTAATTAATAATTAATTAAACAACTGATCTGAAGGTTCGTAAATTCTTGTCCATATCAGTGACCTGCATCTTTTGAATGACATGACTGGAAATAACATCACTATTCACCAAAGCAAACTGTGGTTTATGAATATTTATTGACCAAGTTAAACAGAAACATTTAAATATCAAATATGCAAATGAGTGTAGGTCGCTCTAAACTGTTGTCAAGAGATGTGAGATCAGGCACAACTTTAAGAGTTATCTAAAGTTCTGTGTTGAGTCTAAATTGATGAAGCGAGTCATTCTGTGTTAGTGCACATACAACCCAGGAAGCGTGGAGCTGTCCAGTCACCATGTGGTCCTGTTGGGTCCAATGAAGGTTTGAGTTTCTCAGGATGTCGGTTCTGAAGAATCAAACACAATGAAACGGATGAAGGCCACGTGATCTGATCAATGTTCCAGGCTCAGTCGGCGTCAGGCTGAGGGACGCTCTCCTCTGTTCCAGAGGATTGGAGGACACGTTTCAGTGTCTGTGAGGTCTAACAGCGCGGGTCACAGATTAGGGCTAATCAATCAAAAAGACTATGTCTGCAGAAATGCAAATCTTAAAATTTGCAAAAAATATGAAAGCTTCACTTTCGAATCAGATCAGCTACAGGTATTCAAATAAAAACACGTCAAGCGACGGGCACAGCTTTGAACAGAGGGAGAAGTGGGGCGTTGTCCCCCTGTTCGGCTCTACTACATCTTGACCATTCTGAGCTGAACTGCTTCTGCGATCTTCTACTGAACTGAGATCTGAACGAACTGGTCAGAACTGGGGAACTGCGAAACTGGGGTGAGGTCTGTTTTCCTTGTCTTAAATCTTAAGATAAGCGGGAAAAACCGACCAATGGTGGGCCTTGTGTGTGGAATGTGAGTTAGTTGAGTGGGGGGTTTTATGACATAGCTCACATTACAACTATGAACATGTCCTCCAGCTCCTCCGGGGGGACCCCAAGGCGTTACCAGGCCAGCCCAGAGACATAGTCCCTCCAGCGTGTCCTGGGTCTTCCCCGGGGCTTTACTGAAAATTGTCCAACAAAAAACAAACATTGTTTTTCACCTGTGGTTCAACAGATTTATTAGAAAAAAACAAAATAATGAAACTGGCCTGGACAAAAATGATGGTACCTTAACTTTATATTTTGTTTCACAACTTTTTGAGGGAGACTTCTGCTCTGGTCAACAGATATTTTGACCCACTTCTCGCAGAGTCGAGTCTCAGGTCTGATTCTGGTCTGGTTCCTGTTTTGTTCAGTTCATTAAGTTTACTAAGTTACACATTCCAAGATCAGACTGTGGTGAAAGTAAAGATTTTCAACAATGATGGTTCAGGGTTAGAAAAGTTAATAATAAAATTATAGTTTTGGACATTTGATTTTTCACACCAAGTTCAGCCCAAATACTACACATTGAAATAAACACAATCTGATCTCCCCACACATCCTGGATCTCATTCTTTGCTCTTTGTTCATTTTATAATGTCTTATAGAAGTATCGGATCGGGACTCGGTATTGGCAGATACTCAAAATCAAAGGACTCGGACTCGGGAGAAAAAAAATGTGATCTGGACATCCCTAAATTTAAGATAAGTTTGAAGTGAACAAACTAAAGCAGACCACCCTACTGTCTCTGCAGAGAGTACATAACCAAATACACAATCATATGGGAGATTGTTTGGGACTTGTGGGGCCATTTTGTCTGTTATTGACCCTTTGCACCGACATCACCTGATCACGTGGTTGCACCATGATGGACGTCAGAAATGAGTGAAGGTTCTATGCAGGGAGAGCAAAACTGATGAGAACTCAGAGATTACAATTATTTTGTTCAATTTAGCGATGGCTTCTTCTAGTGCTTGTTTAGTTTAGTTGTTGGGGAAAGTTGGGGGCTCAAAAGGGTTATAAGTTGTATGGAGAAATGAGCCTATAGATCGCTGACCAACTGATCTGTTCTCTCTCCTGCCGTGTTCACCGATTTGATCAAATGACAAATACTTTATGCGTGTCATCTTTTGTCATTTCAGGTTGATCATGATCAGGTTCCCTCTGAAGCTGACCTAAAGCCCTGGTGTCACTGCAGAAGGATGGGACAGTTCTGTGTGTGGCCTGTGCACATGTAAAGCAGGTCTGGGAGAGATGTGCTCACAGAAAAGTCCTGCTCAGCTGCCCTGGACTCTGCTGCTGCAAAACAAAGCACTCTTCATGATGGAGTTTTCATCTGTGTCCTCTATTTCAAATCCATTCACTTCATGCACTCAGCATCCAACTCTGTGCTCTCTGTACAATGTAATCATCAAATACAAATGACAGGAATCCATTTGTCCAGATTTTATTTATATACACTTTTATAAAATGTATTGATTTGTTTCTTACAAATGGAGTTGACAGTTTATTTACAGATTTGTCAGGGCAGTGATTAGTCTGTTACAAACAAGAAGTTAAACATCACTTGTACAGCAGGAGCTTGGTCCAGTCACAGTTTCGATCGGGGACAGTTCAGGTAGAAGTGTGTTCAGAACAGAGTTGGAGCACGTGTTTGGTGAAGCACAGCCCTGGACGATGGTCGATGAAGGTGTTGTTGCTGAAAAATCAAAACAGCTGTAGTAAGAAAAGCTCATCATAAGTTTTAGCTGAGATGTTTATCTTGTTTTTGAAATCCTTCAGGCTGAATTTCCACTTTCATTATTTTAAACATGTTATTTATGTTATTTATGAGCTCACAAGAAGCAAATCAATATAGAATGTGTCTGTAAATAACAAGTGTATTCCACTGATTTAAGACAAACCTGTTGTTATGAAGCAGCTGGTCTCCAGTACATTACATCGTACAGAAGCATCACATCTGCCTGTCAGAGGATCACAGGTTGGGCATCCCAGGGAATCAGGTCCAGGGGGCGATGGCACTGCCACACACACCACTACATCAGTACATCTTTAACTTTAACTCTTTGTTTTCTTTGATTCCACAAATGTACTGTTTGTTGATTTGACTCTTATCCTCTTACCATTGTTGTCTTTTTTAAACAAATGAAGTGTACTCACGTGGTGGGGTATTTTTGTTGCAGTTTGTTTTGTTACAACAGGTGGCTTGTGCAAACACTTGACCAAATCCAGTGTTTAAGGAGTATGTCTGTGTGTCTGCAACTGGACACAGCGAGGAGTCTGCACATTTCTTTATTATTCTGGTAGTAGTAGTTCCACCCTGAGTAACTGTAAAGGAATAAAAGTTTGTAAAATACCCATTTCATAGAAAGAAAATATGAATGAATTTTAGGATGAAATTTTACTTTGTGTTGTTGATACAAAGCACATGTTTGCGTCTGGACAGGCGGGTGCATTTATTTTAGAACATGTTGGATCAGTGAGGTCTGAACAAACACTACACCTGATTGTAGAACCTGTTGAAACACAACACAAATCATTTATAATAAAACACTGATGCTTCTCTCTTAAGTGCATAAATAATGTTCCCTGTTATAACACGTCTGTAAGTCTTTAACTGTCCTGGTAAAACACACAAATACATTCATACTACAAGAAGAGTCAAGTATTCTAAAGAAACATAATTCATAATGAACAGATTTATGCATTTCCCAAAAATGACCCATCATTTTGAAAAACAAGTAAATGATACCAGAAGATACAAAGTAAGAAACACAAATGTTCATCCCTTTTAATATGGCATGATTCCATATGATGTTTCTATTAATACTTGTACCAAGTACACAGCAGTATGCTGGTTGTGGAGATTGGCCTGTCCACACAATTCATACTGGATAATGTGAATAGTTAAACATTGTCTATTGAAAAGTCAAATAAACTCTAACATAATGTAAATCATAACAACAATAGCAACAACAATAAATCCTTAAAGGTATAATAAATATTACCTGTAGTTGTAGTTGGGGTAGTGTGTAGTTGTAGTGTAGTAGTGTTGTAGTTGTAGTAGTAGTTGTAGTTGTGTAGTAGTAGTAGTAGTGTAGTTGTTTAGTTTGTTACAATCATCAGTTTTACAGCAGGAGCTTGGTCCAGTACAGTTTCATAAGGGGACAGTTCAGGTAGAAGTTTGTTCAGAACAGAGTTGGACAGTGTTTGGTGAGGCACAGCCGTGGACTGGGATCGATGAAGTGTGTTTGCTGAAAAATCAGAACAGTTGTAGTAATCATAATAATAAACAGATAATCAGAAGTTTGAGTTGAAATTGAGCTGGTGTAAATTCAGCCTGAAAGACCTGACTTCACTCCCATCTACATCACTGCTTCTACAGTGTCCAGGCCCCAGGGTGAAGACTCCTAAACGACACGTCTGAGTGCCAAAGCCAACTCATTCAACAAAACTTACTAATGGGTCTGGTCAAGCAGAAGTAAACAACAAGGCCAAAAATTCAAGTTAATGCATCTGATCTAAAAATGTATTGAACAGATACATATGTACTCTAGTTTATGAAACTGTTGACCTTTTTTCTGTTCCATTTTTGGTTCTAAAGTTCCATATGTTTTAAACAGACCATGTATGAAACATGGAACAAAAATATTTCCCAAATTTCAAAGACCTGCAAATCATGTCATAAATGGTGTATTCATCATATCTTGTGTTATCCATCTTGAACTGTTGATGAAGGTTCATGATAAAAAAAAAAAAAAAAAAAAAGTATTAAAATGATAAAATTTGCTTGGAAGGACTGACATATTTTATAGAAATAGTTTCCTTTCATTTTGAAGTATATTAAATTTTTGGAAGGAAAAAAGCGACAAATGAATGTAAAATCCTGCACCTTCTACTTGTTTGTACAATTTTCCTCCGTTATTTCCCTCCGTTACCATGACCTTTCTTCATAAAAAATCTCATGAGTCAAAAAGTAAGGTTTTTCAACCTAATCTTGTACCATATGGTAGAAAACTATATGAAGCAAATATTCAAACCAGTTTGTTAAGGATATGGAAGTGAGAACAAGAGTATCACTGTTTGGATTATTGCCCAAAAAGTGCTGCATATTTCATTCCCTCCTTACCGCATGAGTTTTTAAAATTTTTGTCACAACTTGAAAGAATATCACAGGTTTAACTTGACCTGTTGGAGTGTAACTCTTCCTACATTCTGATACTTTACTTATTTCAATAGTCCTCTAGTTTCTGAATAAAGNAACAAATATAAAATCAACTACAACTTAAATGTCACTGGTGAAAACAACCTGCATAGGCTCATGATGTCTGCACTACTGTCCTATAGTGACCTGCCACATGAGGGGACACACACACAAACACACACAAACACACACACAACACACACAACACACACAAACACACACAAATCATTAACCTGAGAACGCGCGGACCACGTTTTCTTCAGTAGTTACTGCGCGGACACCGCTGTCCTCCCGTGCGCCGCGTACGTTTTTCTTGTGTACGCTGAGTAAAACACGCTTCCTCCTGTGCACCTCTAAACCAGAAACTAACACCAAGACTAAAACCGGGACTAACCCAGTCCAGGACTAAACCAGGATTAAACCAGGTCTAAACCAGGATTAAACCAGGACTAAACCAGAACTAAAACCAGAACTAAAACCAGGTCTAAACCAGGTCTAAACCAGGACTAAACCAGAACTAACACCAGCACTAAAACCAGGACTAAACTAGGACTAAAGTAGGACTAAAGCAGGTCTAAACCAGGACTAAAACCAGGACTAAAACCAGTGATCTCATATATAAAGCATTTCTCTATCAATAATATTTTTAATATGGTTAAGGAAAGACTGGACTTTTTATTGTCTTTAAGTAGACAAAAGTTATTATGTTCAGATTTCCTCGTCTTTGCTACTTTACAGCAAACAGTTTCTTATTCATGGAGACTTGGGCTCAACAGACAATTTGAAGAGAACAAACAAGAACGACATTTGCAGGATGCAGTTGCTACATTCATGTAGTTTTAAAAAGCATGACAATATCAAGTAATCCAAAGTATTCAAATTACATTACTCACTTTAAGTAATTACATGGATTAAGTTACAAACTACATTTTGGGATATGTAATCTGTAATCTGTAGGGGAATACATTTTAAAAAGTAACCTTCCAACACTGCAGATTAGTAATAGTAATAATAAGGATGATACTGTGGAATGTAAGTGACTGCATCTGTTAAAGTTTGTTAAACAATAAATGACTTTATAAAGTCACTTTTTTAGTTCTATATCAGTCTTTTGATCTGCCACAATGATGTAATAATGAATTTAAATGAAAATACCTCAAATTGAAGGCTTTTCTCAGCAATTTTTAGGTGAGAATAAAAAGAGATTAATTTGATTAATTAATTACAGATCATAATTAATTAATCTCTCTTTTTTTTTTTTATCGCATGACAGCACTAGTTAATAGTAGATGTTTGTATTACTTTAAACTAATCAGAATATGCCAAAGTTTCTCTGGTAAAAATTTGATCAGCATTTAACTGTGCCCACATGGGGAACCGAGGGTCCAAAGAAGGGGCCAAAAAGATCACATTTGGTCTGTGACCATATTTGAGACTCTACACCATCCACATGAAAGCTCAGAAAAGTGTGAGATTGTTGTTAGAAATGCTCCTTCTCTCAAATATTCAGCTTAAACTGTTAATTTGTAAATATCTGCTTGGAGTAGATAGATCTTGGACCTCAAAATTTGAAAAAAATAAAAATAAAAAATCAACAGCAACCAAATGTGAGATTTTGGGGGCCCACAGTGCCCCCCTTAATAAAGATACCCAATATTCGACAACAGATTCAGAATCTATGATCACGAATCTACAATAATACAAATTGTCAGCTTCCTAGCTCTATTTTTTATGAAGTTATGATCTTTCAAACATGCTTTATAAATTAAGGTTTCTGAATTAGTGAGCATGGCCCCAAAATTTCAACAGGCCATAACTCAGGAAAGACTCAAGGGTTTGAGCTAAAATTTGAGATTCTTTCATTTGGTGATTTTTAGAATTTTTTGGAAACATTTTCAGCCAAATCTGAGATGGGAGGGGAGGGCAGCTGATTTCATATGGACTGACCCTAATTAACTTATTTATGCATTTTCCAAAAAATGACCCATCATTTTGAAAAACTAGTTAATGATACCAGAAAGTACAAAGTAAGAAACACAAATGTTCATCCCTTTTAATATGGCATGATTCCATATGATGTTTCTATTAATACTTGTACCAAGTACACAGCAGTATGCTGGTTGTGGAGATTGGCCTGTCCACACAATTCATACTGGATAATGTGAACTGTTAATCATTGTCTATTGAAAAGTCAAATAAACTCTAACATAATGTAAATCATAACAACAATAGCAACAACAATAAAGACTTAAAGGGTATAATAAATATTACCTGGTGTAGAAGTTGTAGTTGGAGTGGTTGTATTTTGTCCAAGAGTAGTTGTATTTGGTGCAAGAGTCGTTGTAGTTTGTGCAGGAGTAGCTGTAGTTGGTGCAGGAGTAGTTGTAGTTGTTAATTTGTTACAATCCTCAGTTTTACAGCAGGAGCTTGGTCCAGTCACAGTTTCATAAGGGGACAGTTCAGGTAGAAGTTTGTTCAGAACAGAGTTGGAGCATGTGTTTGGTGAGGCACAGCCGTGGACTGGGATCGATGATGAAGTTGTTGTTGCTGAAAAATCAGAACAGTTGTAGTAATCATAATAATAAGAGATAATCAGAAGTTTGAGTTGAAATTGAGCTGGTGTAAATTCAGCCTGAAAGACCTGACTTCACTCCCATCTACATCACTGCTTCTACAGTGTCCAGGCCCCAGGGTGAAGACTCCTAAACGTCACGTCTGAGTGCCAAAGCCAACTCATTCAACAAAACTTACTAAAAGTTTCTCTTTGTGTCTGTCTGAGTCTCTCCGGGGAGAAATGTTTATCTTGTTTGTGAAATCCTTCAGGCTGAGGTTTTACTTTCATTATTTTAAACATGTTATTTATGAGCTCACAAGAAGCAAATCAATATAGAATGTGTCTGTAAATAACAAGTGTATTCCACTGATTTAAGACAAACCTGTTGTTATGAAGCAGTTTGTCTCCAGTGCGTTACATTGTATAGAAGTATTGCATCGGCCTGTCAGAGGATCACAGGTCAGACATCGCAGGGAGTTTTGTCCAGGGGCGGTCGGCGCTGTAATACACACCAGTACATCAGTACAACTTTAACCATAAACTCTTTATTTTCTTTGATTCTACAGATTTAATGTTTGTTGACTTGACGTTTATTTATTTATTTATTTTTTTACAAATGAACTGTACTCACGTGATGTGGTCTCTTTGTTGCAATTGGTTGATTCATTACAACATTTGACTTGTGCAAACACTTGACCAGATCCAGTGTTTAAGGAGTATGTCTGTGTGTCTGCAACTGGACACAGTGAGGACTCTGCACATTTCTTTATTATTCTGGTAGTAGTAGTTCCACCCTGAGTAACTGAAAAGGAATAAAAGTTTGTAAATTATCCAAAACATATGTCATTTCAAAGAAAGAATTTTTTTTTTTTTTTACTTTCTGTTGTTGATACAAAGCACATGGTGTCTGTTGCTGCACAGTCCTTCACTGATGCTTTTTTGCATGTTGGATCAGTGAGGTCTGAACAAATGCTACACTTGATTGCAGAACCTGTTGAAACACAACACAAATAATTTACAATAACACAGTGATGCTTCTCTCTTACATGCATAAGTAATGTTCCCTGTTATAACACGTCTGTAAGTCTTTAGCTTCCTGGAACAGAAAGAAAATTAAAAGCAAGTGTAATCCAAGTAAATTAGCGTCACTTCTGGTTACAACTTTATTGTGACTGGGAAACTTCCTTTAAGTTCCGGTGTCAGTTGTGTCACATCCTGTTGTTCCTCTCCTTCGGTGCTACTCTCTCTCTGGCTCAATCATTTGGAGGGTAGTGATTAAAACCTCTGATCTAACAATACAAACCTTTCTAGCAGGTGGAAAAGTATCTAAGCTCCACCGAAAATGACCTGTGAGAGCTCATTTTCAAAAATTCCGTGTGAAATGAAGGAATTTAATGGTAGGGGTGTCAAATTATTGCGTTAATTGCGATTAATTAATTACAGTCATATTTAGCGCATTATGTTTTTTAATCGCGTTAATCTCATTTTTATTCTCTAACTTTATGGTGTCTGTCTGCGAGTTGCTTTATTATAAAATCTGTTTTTATGTGTTGTTGGGACAACAACACACACACACACAAAAAACACATTTATACATTTTTTTATTTCTGTAATTCCACTCATTGCCGGAAACCCACACAAAACACGCGCAGTAAGAGCGATGTAAACGTCATGTTAACGTTGGCAGCGTCAGTCGCACAATGGACGAGGTGGAAGAGCCAGTAGAACAGAGGCAGCAGTGCACAGGTAAAAACACATTCGTGTCTTGGAAATTCTTCTCCCGACGTGAAATATAAAAGAAAATAACAAATATAAAATCAACTACAACTTAAATGTCACTGGTGAAAACAACCTGCATAGGCTCATGATGTCTGCACTACTGTCCTATAGTGACCTGCCACATGAGGGGACACACACACAAACACACAAACACACACAAACACACACACAAACACACACAAACACACACAAATCATTAACCTGAGAACGCGCGGACCACGTTTTCTTCAGTAGTTACTGCGCGGACACCGCTGTCCTCCCGTGCGCCGCGTACGTTTTCTTGTGTACGCTGAGTAAAACACGCTTCCTCCTGTGCACCTCTAAACCAGAACTAACACCAAGACTAAAACCGGGACTAACCCAGTCCAGGACTAAACCAGGATTAAACCAGGTCTAAACCAGGACTAAACCAGGACTAAACCAGAACTAAAACCAGAACTAAAACCAGGTCTAAACCAGGACTAAACCAGAACTAACACCAGCACTAAAACCAGGACTAAACTAGGACTAAAGTAGGACTAAAGCAGGTCTAAACCAGGACTAAAACCAGGACTAAAACCAGTGATCTCATATATAAAGCATTTCTCTATCAATAATATTTTTAATATGGTTAAGGAAAGACTGGACTTTTTATTGTCTTTAAGTAGACAAAAGTTATTATGTTCAGATTTCCTCGTCTTTGCTACTTTACAGCAAACAGTTTCTTATTCATGGAGACTTGGGCTCAACAGACAATTTGAAGAGAACAAACAAGAACGACATTTGCAGGATGCAGTTGCTACATTCATGTAGTTTTAAAAAGCATGACAATATCAAGTAATCCAAAGTATTCAAATTACATTACTCACTTTAAGTAATTACATGGATTAAGTTACAAACTACATTTTGGGATATGTAATCTGTAATCTGTAGGGGAATACATTTTAAAAGTAACCTTCCCAACACTGCAGATTAGTAATAGTAATAATAAGGATGATACTGTGGAATGTAAGTGACTGCATCTGTTAAAGTTTGTTAAACAATAAATGACTTTATAAAGTCACTTTTTAGTTCTATATCAGTCTTTTGATCTGCCACAATGATGTAATAATGAATTTAAATGAAAATACCTCAAATTGAAGGCTTTTCTCAGCAATTTTTAGGTGAGAATAAAAAGAGATTAATTTGATTAATTAATTACAGATCATAATTAATTAATCTCTCTTTTTTTTTTATCGCATGACAGCACTAGTTAATAGTAGATGTTTGTATTACTTTAAACTAATCAGAATATGCCAAAGTTTCTCTGGTAAAAATTTGATCAGCATTTAACTGTGCCCACATGGGGAACCGAGGGTCCAAAGAAGGGGCCAAAAAGATCACATTTGGTCTGTGACCATATTTGAGACTCTACACCATCCACATGAAAGCTCAGAAAAGTGTGAGATTGTTGTTAGAAATGCTCCTTCTCTCAAATATTCAGCTTAAACTGTTAATTTGTAAATATCTGCTTGGAGTAGATAGGTCTTGGACCTCAAAATTTGAAAAAAAAAAATAAAAATAAAAAATCAACAGCAACCAAATGTGAGATTTTGGGGGCCCACAGTGCCCCCCTTAATAAAGATACCCAATATTCGACAACAGATTCAGAATCTATGATCACGAATCTACAATAATACAAATTGTCAGCTTCCTAGCTCTATTTTTTATGAAGTTATGATCTTTCAAACATGCTTATAAATTAAGGTTTCTGAATTAGTGAGCATGGCCCCAAAATTTCAACGGGCCATAACTCAGGAAAGACTCAAGGGTTTGAGCTAAAATTTGAGATTCTTTCATTTGGTGATTTTAGAATTTTTTTGGAAACATTTTCAGCCAAATCTGAGATGGGAGGGGAGGGCAGCTGATTTCATATGGACTGACCCTAATTAACTTATTTATGCATTTTCCAAAAAATGACCCATCATTTTGAAAAACTAGTTAATGATACCAGAAAGTACAAAGTAAGAAACACAAATGTTCATCCCTTTTAATATGGCATGATTCCATATGATGTTTCTATTAATACTTGTACCAAGTACACAGCAGTATGCTGGTTGTGGAGATTGGCCTGTCCACACAATTCATACTGGATAATGTGAACTGTTAATCATTGTCTATTGAAAAGTCAAATAAACTCTAACATAATGTAAATCATAACAACAACAGCAACAACAATAAAGACTTAAAGGGTATAATAAATATTACCTGAGCTGCAGAAAGTCAGTGTTAGAGCCAGAAAAAACAATATCTGTCCCTTCATGTTGATCTCTCTGTAGTTCCTTCTGTGTTTGCTTTTATATTACTTGTAGTTTGGAGATGCACCTGGATCTTTTATAAGTTTGAGGTTTGAATGGGCTGTGGCCGTTTAGTCTTTTGTCCTGAGTAAATTCATAATCTGAGAATGCATCACACCCAACTAATACCCTGAGTGACAGATGAAACTGAACAAAGCATGGACACTGTGTGACATTAAATTAATAAACATAATTTGTATGGAGGATGGAGCCACGCCCTCTAGCCAAGCTGAACTCAATCAGAGAATTCTATTATATGTCAGTATTATACGTCAAGAGACTTTTCAACTCCAAAAGCTGTTCTTATGAAGTTTATTTATTTTTAATCATTACATTTTCTTCGTACAAATTACACTGCAGCAGATTATTAATTAAAATCTTCTGCATAAATAAACTTTACATGACTAAACTTTACAACGTATAAAGCATAACGACTCTTGAGCCACATCAGCCCGTTTGAGATTATAATGTGTTTAATTCAGCTTTGCGCACATGTGTTTATGTTTTACAAAACAAAACTTAAAAGTGCATGGCTCATTTGCATAAAAAGAGTGCTGATTGTGCCCCTGATGTGGTTCAGCTTCTTTCGGACTAAAGGACATGACTCAGTGGAATATGACTGTTCTCTCTGTGACAGAGGATGTGCTGTGTGGAAAAGGTTCGTGGTGCTAGAAGCTTTTCACTGGTACCAACTTTGGGCATTCACTGCGGTAGTGAGGAGTGAATGAGACACAAGCGAACAAAATCAGGGAGGTGGGGGTGGCGAGAGCGAGCACAGAGAAGGCAAATAAGCGACACGGCGAAATCAGAATTGAATATAAGCATTATATTGATATATACGATATGTCAGAATCCATATCGTATTAAAAAAAATATCTTAATATATAATATAATATAATATATATAATATATAATATAATATAATATAGATATCGCCCACCCCTATGTACAAGTAAATAAAGTAAGAGCGAAGATGATATGATGATTGACAGGACATATCGTTATCTGTTACATAAGGGTGAGTTTTTGTACAGGTGTAGGGAGTAGGGATGGGCATGATTAATCGATAATTGATCATTAAGAATTTCATCGATTATGTTAATTTTAATCGACAAACTGAATGTAGGTTGCTGTGCGTAGCATTACCAAACAGAGGTCCGTACATGTAGCTCTCTGCACTCAGAAACATTCGGTCAGCCTGCAACGTACCGAGGCACAAATGCGTATTTAACGATGATTTGTACAAGAAATTCCACGCTTTCCGTTGCATTCGACACAAGTGCGAGTCCATGTGCACAGTGAACAAAGCAGGAACATATGTTTCGGTGTCCAGTGGGAAAAAGCTTTGCCAGATGAGAGTCGCGCAATGTCGATGACGAGTCCCCGCCTCCCGCCCCCCGTACGGTGTCCTGGTTTTGACAAACACAAATACGGTCACACTAACCTGTATTCACCTGAGTCATGTCTTTTAATCCGACAGAAATTGAACAGCATCAGCGACACAAGAGCTGTAGTTTTATCTTTGCTGAGTTTATGCAAATTAGCGATGCGGTTTTAAATTTCGTTTCTGTGAGAGTTGAACAAAACTGAATTAAACACATTATAATGTCAAACGGATTGATGTGGCTCTAGAGTGGTTACGGTTTATATGTCGTAAAGTTGAATTTATTAGATTAGATTAGTAGTGCAGATAGTAATAATAATGATGATCATTTTAATATAAAAAACGTTAATGATTAATTGATAATCGATCGTTAATTCTTCTGACGATCGATTAAGAAAATTTCATCGAATGCCCATCCCTAGTAGGGAGTATTATCTGTTTCATAAGGGTGAGTTGTACAGTTGTAGGGAGTATTATCTGTCCCTCTATAGCAGGGGTGGGCAAACTGTGGCCTTTTAATCCGGCCTGTCGGACTTGAATAAATTATAATAATAAACCTTGTTAATGTTTTATTTTTTCCAGCAATTCCTGTGTTTCCCAGTAGAGGGCGCTCTCTAGATACATTGACATTTTTTGACGTGCAGCGTATTATGCTGCATTCTTGTGATGCCAAAAGATCCGACATGCCGAGTTGTTTTTCCGACATGAGGAGGCGTTCATGTGAATTTTCCTAGTGAGAAAGTAATTTTTCTGATCATTCCAACACCACATGAACGCATCCTGAGAATCGCCACAACATAATTAACTCTGGACTTTGATGTGCTCGCTTAAAAGAGACACCAACAACACTGTACCCACTGAAATCAAAAGTAAGTTTCTCTGCTGTTATGTAAAAAATGCATTTACGTGTTACATGTCATTTCTGTTAAGGTGTGCACATAAGTGGTTTGCACGTGCATGTACATTTTCAATATAAACAATGCGCACCAGATCAAATAACATGCTCGCATACTGTCAAGCTGGCACTTTTCCGTCCTGATGCTGGTTGTTGTTGACTTTTGGCTCTGGGGATGTACATTCAATAGAAGGAGCAGGACAAGTGTCTGCATCTCCTACCATTTTTTAAATAAAGACAGGAGGAGAGTGAAATAATAATTTTATTAATTTAATTTTCAATGTTTTAAGAGTAATTTCAATAGTAAAGTATAGTAAATACCGTGGGACTTGAAAGAGAGATATTTTGTTGTAATGCTTTGTTATGATTTTCAATTGAAATTCATGCACAGGTTTTCTACATTTCCCATGTTATTTTTTACTCTCCACTCCATCCATTTGCTTCTGGTCCGGCCCTCCCATCAAATTTTAGAATCCTTTGTGTCCCATGAGCCAAAAAGTTTGCCCACCCCTGATCTATAGTCTGGTGCAGTGGGTGAGTTGTTGTACAGTTGTAGGGAGTATTATCCGTTCCTCTATAGTCTGGTGCAGTGGGAGAGCAGGAGTGTTCATGATGGAGAGCAGTTTGTCCAGTGTCCTCGTGTCCCTCACTGAGACAAACGTCTCCAGGTCACAGACGATAACGTGAGCAGTTTAACAGATCAGTTTGTTGATCCGCCCAATGTCCCTTTTACTGGAGCTGCTCCCCCAGCAGAACACAGACAAGTACAGGACGCTGGCCCCACAGAATGATAGAAGATCTCCAGTAACTGAAAGACCTGAGTTTTCTCAGGAAGTAGAATCTCCTCATGCTCTTCTTGTACACAGCATTACTGTTGTCCCTCCAGTCCAGTTGTTCACATGGTCTTCACTTGTAGCAGTCGACTATTTCCACATCATGGTCCTGGATGGTGACGGGCTTCACTGTGTCCTCTTCCTCCTGAAAACAAATTTGCAATCAGTGTCCTGAACTCCAGCTCCTGTCCATCTCTGATACACCCAACCACCACCACAGACTCTTCAGACAACTTCTGCAGGTGACAGGACTAACTGATATATTTGTAAAATGATATTGACATAACAGGACTCACTAATCTAATGTCTCTGTTCTAATGTGACAGCAGCACGACTCCTGGAGTTGTCCTGTCACTTCAGGCCTGTTAGGTTCACACAAAAATATGATGTGAATTTTATCTGCAAAGTGATGTGGCTCTTCCACAGAACTAAACAGACACATTCACAAAGTCAAACTGGTCTTGTGTCTTGTCAAACACAACAGTGACAAACTCTGGTCTCTAATACTAATTACTGTCTTCTCTTACTGTTCAATGAACGATAAATGAAACAAACATGTTTAGCTCTTTGTACTATGAACATTTGGTTGTTTTTTTATAGTATGTTTTTAGCTGCAGAGAGTTGAATAAGTTCTAAGTTCTATGGCTCATAACACCAATTAACTGCATATAATAATATAGTGTATATTTTCTGGAGTCTATTGCACTTAGACAACCACTGTGTGACCCACTTCACACGAGCTTCACACTCACACAAACTTAGAATTCACAATAATGACCCGACTGAAGTGTTGTATTAAATGTTTTAGGTCATTGTCACAGTTCAACCAACAGGCTTTGAGCTTTGAGTCTGTTCTTTTCTACCTTACACTCCTTAAGATGGCAATTATAAAGAAATAATCCACCATTTGAAAGTCTGTAAACAAATACATTCTGAACTGGAAAAGTGATTAACACACAATATCAATGTATATTTTTAGAAACACTTTTGTTATAACAATTACTATAATTTAAATGAGAAATGAGGAATTGAGTTAATTATTCGGTATAATGTTATAAATGTTGTGACTCTAAGTAAGTAAGTAAGTAAGTCTTTATTTATATAGCGCTTTCACATACATTTTCTGTCCCCAAAGACGCTTTACACAGCATTATTCAGCATTATTCATTCAGCATTCATTCATACAGCATTATTCATTCACTCTATACCTGGTGATGGTAAGCTACTATTGTAGCCACAGCTGCCCTGGGGCACACTGACAGAGGTGTGGCTGCCATGCCACTCGGCGCCATCGGTCCCTCCGACCACCACCATCACTCACACACACACCACTTTCATACTAGGCAATGTGGGTGAAGTGTCTTGCCTAAGGACACAATGATTGACTCTAATCAAAATAATGTTTATTTAAGTTACACTAATTTGAAGCATTAATCAGAAGTCTATTTCTTTACATTTCATTTAATGTGGAGTGTTGCAGATAGAATATTTTAAAATAATTTATTTCTAGTTATTTTTGTTTTTGCCATTCAACCTGCCGAGATGACATTACACCTCAGCTGAGTGGAGAAGAGGATAGTGAAAAAAATCCTTATCTTAAGATCAACTGCAAATAGCAATTTTGATAATTCTTTATAAAGTTTTTTTCGGGTTTCATAATACAGGTGAATGTGTGAACATTCACAGAACAGAACAGAACCACACCTCCCTTGTAAAAATCCCAGTATGATAATTACACCTGAATGATAATTGAACACAGTTGCTCCTGTATTGTTCCTGGGTTTGTTCACAGCCCAAGCAACTGGTGCAGAATTAGCTCTGATTAGTGTCTTTGCAAACACACACCCTTCAGGTATTTAGGAGTTTATAC